CACAGAATGACTTTTGACTTCATTGATAAATTTAGAGAAGGGGCTGGTGGGGGTTTCTGTGATTGCATCACATATTTCCTCTGAACCAAGACGGTAAGCTAATAAGGCCGAGATCAGGTTACACTGAGCTTTCTAAGTCCACACTATAAGCTAACAAGGTATATTTGGCATGAAAGCTGCAAAGATATATAATGTTCATATTGTGAATACAGCAACAAATCATTATAATCACTGTTGATTATTGGGATGATTATTTTCCCCTTGTTCATTAAAGTCTATAAAATAAAATAAAATAAAAGGTTAGAAAAATACCCATGAAGATCAGCTTGCTATTTAAACTTTATTATTATTATTTTGCCTCAATAGACCTAGAGGTTGGTTTACTCTCATAGAAATTATACAATATACACCACAATACACTAAATATTCATATTTGATGATTAAAAGAAATTAAGTATTTATCAAAAAAAAGTTGCTGATTTATTCTCCATCAGTTGGCTAATTTACAAACCAATGAATCATTTCACCTTTGACTTTGATTCTTTAAAACCACCTAGTTTAAAATAATAGAACTTCTTAAACCTATCTTTACATTTTTAATTGTCATTTTCCATTTTAGAATTTAAAGTTCTTTGTCGTTGCAGTACTTTGCACTATTTTTTATCCCTCTTAATATGTTTATTTTATATTTAATGTATGTACCAAAAAAACCAAAGCAAATTCCTTGTAAGTGAAACCTACTTGTCAATTAATCCTTCTCTGATTCTGATTCTGAGTCACGGGTTAAGAGGTGTTTGTTGAGGAGCACTGTGTCATAATTGCCAGAACTTTATTTCAGGCCCCTGACTGACCAAACATGAATGATTCAGAGCAATGGTGACATCTTGTGGAAATAAACAAACAGGTAATCTTCGCTCATATCTCTTCCTCAGGGGGTTACAAGAATCATTCATCGGTTAACTGGAAATCGAAATTACTTCTGATACAATTCAGCTTGTTATTGCACAGAGTTAGACTGACCCATGCAATGGTGCTTGGTAACCCCAACTGAGAAGACTGTTGCATGTTTCCAAGGCTCCATAATGGATCAAAATTATTCATTAAAAAAGGGACAGTTCACCCCAAAAATAAAAAATGCGTATTTTTCCTCTTACCCGTAGTGCTATTTATCAATCTACATTGTTTTGGTGTAAGTTGCCGAATGTTGGATATCAGCCGCAGAGATGTCTGCCTTCTCTTGAATATAATGGATCTAGACGGCACTCGGCTTGTGGTGCTCAAAGTGCCAAAAATATACACCTGAAAAACTTAACAGCAATATCTCTTTCCAGAAATCATGACTCAGGTTCGTGCTCATGACAGCGCAAGATATAAACATCAATGGCGTTGTCCTCAGCTGAGCTGTAAAGTTAGCTAACTTAGTGGTGCCAGGTGAGCTGCACAGTAGATGCACACTTCCTTCTGCATGTTGATACAGTTGTCAGGTGTAGTTTGGTAGAAAGAAAATAGTTCCTGCATGAAACCTCTCCCAACAATGGATCATCTTGAGTAACCGGGTCATGATTTCTGTTAAGAGACATTGCTTTTGAGTTTTCAAATATATATTCATTGGTGCTTTGAACACCACAAGCCAAGTGCCATCTAGTTCTGTTATATTCAAGAGACAGCAGACATCACCACCAACACTCTGCAACTCATCCCAAAACAATATACACTGATAAATAGCACTACAGGTAAGAGGAAACATATGTATTTTTTTATTTTAGGGTGAACTGTCCCTTTAACTACCAAAAAGTCTAATGTGAATTACAAGTAAAAAAGACAAAAAAAGACAATTGAGACAAACACCCATCATATTGATTTTAGATGTCAGACCATCAGCCTTGTAGGTCTTATCAGGATGCATGTTGTTTTAACACAGGAAATACCCAGTTTGCAAATTAATTGACACCATACATGATATGATTCATGATAAATCTAAACTAATCAGAACTGCACCCTCTCTTTCCTCTTTATGTGCCAACCATTATGACTTCCTGTAAAGCTTGCAACTGTGACCATAGACTGTATTTAAAGACTGTGACAGCAGGGTACAGCTAATTTTAAAACTGCTAGAGAAACCAGTGTAGCAATAGCTTATATGATAGCATATAGTAACTGCATCATACTACTGAAGAAAGAGAAAAGGTGAATTTGTGAGAAAACAAGAGCGAGCCTGTGATGCACTCTGTAATGTGTGTGTTCACCTTATTTAATATCCTTTTCATACATAAAATGGAGCTTCAACTGCTTTAGATTCAACTGCAGAGTCACATGCTTCAATTAAAAGCCACATACTGCAACACCGCGACAGACAATAACATTTTAGACCATATACCAGGTGGACCAGCTGTGCCCCAATGGCCCGAAAACACTGGTCAAATGTGTGAATGTGTTCCCAGGAGAGTTATCAGCTGGCTACAGGAAAAAGCAAACATACAGTTCACACAGCGTGCCACCAAATGCCTTGTCCTTGTGTTTAGGTGCAATATGTTTCCATCTCAGGATGCTGGAATAATAAACAGGCTGGTGACTCCGAGCCTGCCCGCACAAAAACAAAAGCCAGAGGATACACAGGAAATGTCACCCAACATTTAGTCCTCCTGGGTAACAAACTGTACGCTTTGTTTTCTCCCCCTACCTACTTGTTAAAAATATTTCAAAGCATTTCCCTCATTGCACAAAAACAGAAGAGTGGGCGGTTGGCATGTGGGAAACGGTAATCATCAGATTGAAGCCCACAGTGTCACAAGCACAGAGTATGCACCTCACCCTGCCGAGACACAAGGACAGTCCAGTCTCCCATCTCCTAGCAGCAGAAATCAGCAGCTGATAGTCATTAGCTCTGTGTCGCTTGATACAAAATGTCCTTTTGTTAGCTGGCTAGAGACTCCAGCTGTCCTCTCGAGGCCTTAAACCGGGGACATCATCGCTGAAGAGTCTCTATCACTATGCAAAAAATGTGGACGACGTGCTCTGTTACCAGATATGCTTCAATGTTAACTCTAACAGGCTCTTCATATCACGTTTTACTGACAATCGAAACTCTAAACTGTAACTATGACCAAGAAAAGAGTGTGACGGATTGCTAAGTTCATTTCCCTGAGGCTTTTATATAAATAATAATGACAATAATGTATATTTTTTAGCACTCACAAATCATTTTTACCAGCAGACTTTGCTTAAGAAAAAGCAGAAACTACCATACTATTATAAAGCTTATTGACTTTTTATAGAGCAGAAATCAATCTTTTCAATATCTTACATTTGCCTCCTTTGTCATGTAACAAACACAGAACAACACTTGTTTCAGTTACAACATAAAGTCAATCAATCTACCCTGAATTTAAAAAAAACAAGCCAATGCCACAAATAATGATAATAAATTTAACATATTCTGGCACTACTACACCTCAGATGTTAAAACAAATAAACAACAACTCACCCACACATTCAGCTTGTGTCGGAGAGAGGCACTTTTTAATGGAACTGGTGAATAGGGGGGAAGCAATTTCACTGTGAGACTTGGGGAATTCCCGGCCATAACCCAGTAAAATGGCCTTATACTGTACGCTAAGCCTCTGATACAACCTGGTGTTTGTCCAACTGTGTGGCCTGCCTTTACAGGGTAACACAACATGTGAGGACAAAAAAAAAAACCTGAATGCACGTACACTGCTTTGAATAGAGACCACAAAAATACAATGCATCACATGAAGAGAGCAGCACTGAAGAAAAACACAGATAACCTTTAATGTGTATTTACTTGTGGATTCAGTACAGTACATACAGTGTGACTTGTTTGCATGATCACATCATGATGCCACTGTAATTACTGTAATGTGCAACATGTAAAAGACTGTAGATAAAAAGTCAGAGGCTAAAGCAGCACCCATAACTGTCTCTGAGGATGTGACACACTGTTACTAACAGCTTTGAAATATGTAAACTTCAATCTATTTAATTCATGCTGTGCAGGCTGCTCAGAAAAACACCACAGTGCAAACTTCCCCCCGGCTGTCAGAAGGGAAATTCAAATTGTATATTTTGACATTGGCTGCATTTTAACAATGTGCTACACAAGTAATCTCTTAATCTCTCATAATTATCATCAAATGGAGCAATTTCATGTTGGGTGTGCCATTAAAACCAGAGTGTGACTGACTGCTGCAGACTCTATTTGTTGCCTAGGATTTTGGCGTACTGCAGGGGATTTCCTCGCCACATACATCTTTTTTTTCTCCTTTCCTCTTTTAACTCAAAGATGGCCTGACAGCAGCTGCGCTCACACATACGCAATGAAGTGAGACACTGACAAGAACAGAGACAGCTGTCTTGTACTTTTCTCCTGCCATTATCGAGTACGCAAGTCCAACTGAGAAACATGAAATGAAGTGTTAAGTGACATGTTAATATGGTTAAGTGTGAACAACATGTTTTCTTTTTGTTTATTTAAATGTGTCATGGTAGGTAGTCACACTACACCTCTACAGTGTGTTTGAATGTACAGATGCAGAGTGGTTGAAAGAGATAACAAGATTTACATTTAGGCACGTAACATTAGCTTCTAGCTTCTATCCAACAATCAAAATATTAATTTGAATGAGCTGCTATTATTCTGTTTATATCACCCTTTATTTACACATGGTTAACCTTTATGAACAACAATAACCTATGGGTATTTTTGAGTTTGTTAAGCAGAAGAGGCATTGAATTGGAGTGGGAGTTTCCTGATGCTAAATATTGTAGTTCTCTTTCTGCCTGGCCCATTTCTATTGCCAGTATCAGCACAGTTAATCATTAAACTGCCCTGCCAAACACAAACCAGGGCACCCCACCCAGAACACATACAAAAAAGGACAGCAAGAGAGCTATCATGACTTACACTTCACATGAACTTGAATTTATACAGCAAAAGTATTTCAGTGTTTTTCAAGAAACATAAAAAAGGAAAAAAAGACTTTGTGTGTGTGTACTCATTTTTATTTCGGTCTATATGATACCTTAAAATGACAGTAATCATTGGACAGCCTGCAATCTGAAGGCACTGTTCAACATTTCCAATATGCTGTACATGTGGCGCACCTTTCTACACTGACGTGAACATCTTCATGTTGTAATTGACTCTGTAAAAAAAAGAAAAGAAAGAAAAAGAAAGACATCCTGATGGACAGGACAATCAGACACGAGAGCAGAAAAATGGCTTTGAAGGCTGGGAGGTCATAGGTCACTTGGTTTGGCTGAGGGACGGCAGCAGTTTAGGGACACGGACGATAGATACTGGCGTTAACCACTGCAGTTTCACTCTGTGATCAGGCTCGTCTCGTGTTTTTTTTTTTGCTGAAGTCTGTGAACGGAGCTGCAGAGACTTGATGAGTTTAATCCTCCCCTCCGCAGAGTATCAGCAGCGTTTTACGGTAGTCTCCCGAGGTATCGCCCTGAGCAATGATGGAGAATAACACACAGAAGGAGCTTGAATTAATGAGAAATACTGTTTTGTCTGCTGACATCTGGTCAACACACAGCTGAAACTGGAGAGCAGAGTATAACACTGTCTGTCTTGCACTGATGTTGGATGAATGTGAGTCATGGGGACAAGCAGAACTGACAAGCCACGAAATCAACCAAAATCAACCAGGGAGTTAAAAGTGGAATTACCCTTTATATCAGCTGACAGTCACAGATAGCCTACATATTCCTATCTTTACAGTCATCATCACAATTATTGAGACTAAATGCTTATAAAGGCCCAGTTCCTCATTTTGGGAACTATAGTCATTTGATTTCTTCCAGTTAGATGAGAAGATTGATACCACTGCCACGTCTGTACGGTAAATATGAAGCTACAGTCAGCAGCCTGTTAGTTTAGCTTAGCTTAGCTTAGCACAAAGACTGGAAACAAGGGGAAACAGCTAGCCATGTTCTGTATGAAAGTGACTAAATACACCCACCAGCACCTCTGCAGCAAGGGGTGGTAACTTTAGAGGTGCTGGTAGGTGTGTAGACATGGAATTTGTCTTCATCACCTCATCTAAGTCTCAGCAAGAAAGCAAATAAGCATAGAATATCCCCAAATCTTAAACTATTCATCTATCCCTTTAAATATTTTTTAAAGCCTCATTTCCACATAGCTCTGTGTACGTAGGCGAGTCAACCAGAAGTCCATTCATTCCTATCAGACCCTCTGTGACCTGTGACAGGCCATATGCACTGTGCCACAGTCATGAGCCTCGGCTACTGCTCAGCTGCCAAGCATCTAGAGCAGTGGTTCCCAACTGGTCCAGCCATGTGGTTCAGTTTCTCCTTATTTATTTGTTCAAGGTCCACACTGTTAAATACATTCAGTGTCATACTTCTCAAGCTAATTTGCTGTCTCTGTCAAGTAGCTGTTCGTTAGTCACTCACTCTACAGCAGAAAATGGCACTTCACAATAAAAACTCTGTGCTGGAAATTCACTGTACTTCAAAATAAAGTGTGGTTTTTAAGAAGTTGACACGTTTGCGAGTCATGTGTGGTCCATTCAGAATGGACCCGAGACCCAATTTTGGACTGCAACCCCCAGTTGGGAATCACTGATTTAAAGAATAGGAGTCTGGCCTATTTTTTCCTCATGGTGTGCGCAGTTTTCATCGAAAATAGACAGTGACAATGGTATTTTGATACTCATATTGACATCATACCACCTTTCACTACAGTTTCAATGTCTAGATCACTCACAGACATGAAAAAATAACAATATTTATTTTTAACCCACATTTCCTGTTTCTGTTTCAAAATAAAAGCCCTCTGACAACCTTTGTGTGGACAGAATTCCTTCATTTGTTAACACAAGGCTGTTTATTGTGAAATATATGCAGGACTGTGTTGGTGACAATGCAGCCACTTGCATGGCTCCATAAATTAGCGAAAATAGCTGATTTAATCTTTGTGAACACTGCAGAGGTGAGAGCCGCAGCAGTTCAGTGAGAAAGCTGGCACACACTGCTCACACAGGCCCATGTGTAACAGACTGATGAATGAAATACATATTTATGCCTTTTTTTTTTCTTTTTGTTTCTTTTTTTTTTTTGGAAGTGGAAAGTTTGACGGCATAGCTAGCTAACATTGGCTTCACGCTTGGAAGACCAAACTCCTTACTTTTTTGTCGCCATGCATTGCACCATGCACATATTTCACAAGATTGGACAATGACAAACACTTAAAATGAATTTTTCTGCCATTTTTTGGTTGCGTTTTATCGGTTGCAAAAAGCATTTCCTTGTGTTGAACACTAGGGTCGTACTTTGTATACTGTACGGAAATATGGACACAAAACAAAACCATGTGGAAATGAGGCGTTAATACATGTGCTTGCTCTGGGATGTCAGTTACGATAACATTTCTGTAAATTCATGGACATTTCTGATTTATCACATAAATACAAAGACTTGCTGTTAAACAAATTCCTTGAATAGAAATCTCTTGTGCGACTGAAATTAACTTCCTAAAAATATAAACAGAACTACACAACTCAAGAAATTCATGTACAAAAGATAGTAATTTTTTTCACTTCACAACACACTTCAGAATAAACAATATATAGCAATCCTTGCTGTTGCATAATCTCATAATATTTCTGGCAAAGCCAATCCAGGGCAGCCTACTTGCTTGTTTTTATTGGTGTCACGGTGATTTCATCTCTAAGTTATTATTGAACTGCTTCTGGGTACTTCCTGTCTCTGCGGCTGTAAGCCAATCACACAGCGGAAATGGAGAGGAAGTTAAGCATGCAAGGGAAATTCCTAAACAGCTGTGCAATAGCCACAGACTCGTAGTCCACCGCAGGAAGCTATAGACTGTCGTACCCCCCAACCCCACCGCAGCAGGAGGATGTGCAACACACACTCACACAGAGCGGGACAAAAGTCAAAAGCGAGACACACGGATGAGATGAGAACACAACAAACCAACCAGGAGTGTTAGTTGACAGAGACTCTGACTTACAATCATAGTTTCTACCTGGATGAATTCATGTAGGGTGGCGTCATGTGTTTCCTTAAACTCTTTACGAATGTTGAAAAGGTCGACCTCGCTACGGGACACCATGATGCGAATCAGCGCTCTGTCGTCTGTACCAAGGCCCTGCAATGGAGATCAATATAGATACTCTGTTATACTAACTGCTGCTGCCTGACAACTCTCAGCAGCATTAATACCCAGAAAGTACACAGAAGAAAACTAAATATATTACATGCATCAACAAATATGAACTTATCACTAGAGCTGCAATGATTAGTCAATTAATTATTGGATTGACAGAAAATTAATCAGCAACTATTTTGATAATAACTGTTTCAGTCATTTTTAAAAATATTTGTATATATTTTCAGGTCCTCAGATGTGAACATTTGCTGCCTTTTTGGTCTTACATGTTTTAAATATAATTTTATTGGAAATATTTTTGGGTTTGCATTTCTCACTGTTTTCTCAGGTTTTGTGGACCAATGATTATTAAAGAAATAATCAGCGATGAACAAAATCGATAGTTTCCACCCTGCTTATCACTATCTGGCATCCAAGGCTCTGATGGCATGCTGCAGACCTGCTGCTAGAATTATACAACAGCATAAAGTTGCCATATTTAAAGTATTATGAATGAATACCTTCATGGCTTTGTACAGACGGTCTGCAAAATAAGAGGGCTGGTTCTTTACACTGCGAACTGCAAAGCAAAGAGAGAGAGCAAGAGAGAGTCACAGAAAATATGTTGTCAGCAGTATACACTGATGCACTCAGAAGTAAAATAAGGTCAAAGACAGCAGTTACCTATTGCATAAAAGGAATTTTTGACATCTCCTGACATCTCCTTCTTGATAATCTGTTCAATGTCCTTGTTGGTGCATCTGACAAACTCCTGGAACACTGTGATAAGCAAGGATCAGTTATCATGAGCTACATTTTAACATTTAGAGAATCACACACATTTAGATTTGTTATTTAGTGATCACTGTGATCCATCTGTTTCGACCTTTACCTCTCCTAAGATGAGGAAAGCTTCTGGTGCACAGAATACTCATGAACTTCATCTCCATTTCATCAGAGTCGGCATTGCACGCGTCGGCAAGTTCCTGATTAAGTTCAGGGGGAACAAACATTTAAACCCATTCTTCAGTTTTATTTTTTGACACAATAAAAATGTTACAGGATACACTAAATCACCTGAGCATCTGCATTTGCTCTTTCCGCATCTGCAGGTCCCTCCTCTCTTGCACCCTGAACAGAGTAAAGACAGTTCAACACTCATCTATGATCTACTAAATATCAGCGGGTTCATCAAGAACATTTTGTTTTGTCTTTGATATGTACCATTAAACCTTGTAAAGGAAGAGTGTGCGTGTGATTAAATGGGCTTTTTTTGGTCCTCTTGCTACAGTCAGCAGGCAGACTGCAACTAGTGAGTGGGCGTGGAAACAAAACACAGTCTAAGTTCTCATGGTGATGAACACTACCTGCACGAGAGAAACAAGGATGCGGCAGAAGTGGCCTGATGTGTCTGACTGAATGGCTTCCTCCAACGACTTCTTATAGGCTGTGATGTAAAAGGTTTGCATGTAAAAGGTTTCCAGAACAACATAATTTATTGTTTATTTTATCTTACTTTATTTTATCTTCATCAGACTCACCATTCTGATAAGCTTCGTTCATGGCAAGTATTTCCTCATTGCTCCTGGTGACCAGGATCTCGATCAGAGCGTGTTCATCTGTCCCAGCCCCCTTTTAAGAATTAGGAGCTTTGATCACAATAAGGCAGGGGACTTTCACAAATGCAACAATAACAAAAACCAGACCACGAAAACAAAAACCACACCACACAGCTAGGAAGAGAGTACGTGTGAACCGTACCGTCTCATCTGTACCGACAAAATCCATGTTTTGCAATGCCTGTTCCAATTTCTATGATCTCTATTTGTGTTTCAATGACAGACCTTTCACATACTGTATTGATCGCCTGCTGCATGTGAATAAGTGAGGATGTGTCATGTGAAATATCAGAGCTGCAATAGACTGATTCACAATGCAGTGCAGGGCTGACCTTTTTAAGCCTAAATAGCACATTAGACAGTTCAGTGCTTGTGACCATTCAAGACGTAGAAACGCAACAAACAGGTGTTTATGTATTTAGTGTTTGTATGGATTTCTTTTTTTACCATATGGCCTCAAATAGGGAACTATTAGATTAAATAAGAGAGAGATAAAACTGTAAACTGTTAACACTAAATGTACTGAGCTCATCTCAGACTAAAGCATGAGTCAAGTTTGTACTGAAGGCGATTCAGCCAGTGTTTGGTGAGCTTTAAAAAACGTAAATGCAAAGCTATTTGACTTCCAAATTAGATTTTGCGTGATTGCCCTGTCATTCAGGCACAACTGACACCTCTCTTGGCCTGACATCAAACATCACAGACTTGGAAAATAAACATGCGTATTCATAAAAGGGTAAATTCCTGCCCCATGAGCTTTTCTCTCTATTACACACGTACTGTAAATCAACAAAAAAAATCATTAGGCGATCTGGATCAGCTGTACCTCCATTGCCTTCCTCATCATTTTGGCATCGAACTCTGCAGGGGTCAACATGAGCCCAATGATCAGCCTCTCCAAGTTCTTTGACAGCTCAGACTTCAGGTCCTTCATCAGATCCTGAGGACAGATCGAACACACTGAGTTACAGGAAACAGCCAGTAACCGCTGAGATGTTGAGTTTGACATATCCAGTGGTAGATGTGCATGTGCATCACAAATGAAGATGTAAGACATCGTTGAGGTTTTGGTAAATAATTTCTCTCACCCTTCCCAGTAGGGATTTGAAGGCCTGTCTGATCTCTTGCCTCTGAGCGTTGCTTCTGTGTGTAACAATGTCAATGATTGCATCTTCGTCTGTTCCTGTAAGTAGCAGCAGCAGGCAGCAACATTTGTAAAACTTGTTTTGTAAAAATTGTAGCAATGTGAATGTGCTTTTGAGGGTTGCATACCAAATCCCTTCATAGCTTTCCTCAGCGCTTGTGCATCAGCAGCAGGGTCAAAACTGGGTGCGGGGCGGACTGTTGGCCTCAGCTAAAATAGTGGGATGACATGATTAGAAGTGTAAGATTTAGTAATTACAAACACAATGCGCACAATGTAATTAAATTAAATATAATTAAATTAAAGTGTAAGATTAAAGCACAGAACATGCAGAACTCTGCAACATATTCAAAAGAGAGTAGAGTTTGTTGATGGGAGTGTGCCCTCTTGAGGTCAGAGGCCATGACACCACCAACAATGAAAAGGTGGGTAGGCTGAAAAACATCTCAGCTTTAGAGTGTTAGTGAGACGAGCTTTTGTTGTCAACAATGCTGAGATCTTTTTGACATTCACTCCAAGGACAAAGCGAGGCAAACCGTGGTTTGGAGAGCGCATTGTAACAAAAATTATTTGTATCTGAGTGAACATTCTGATCCCATCCGCGGTTACACAAAGCCTTTGCTGTGCAAACACGGCAGCAATATCAGCACAAGTTCATGGCACTGAAAGACGCAGGTCATTGCAGGGCCAGCAGGTAATTAGGGTACATGCTACTTCCACGCCAAACATGCAGTGACACATCTAAAGTGGGAGCAGATGGGGCCCAAACCTGGACTTTGGTCATGGCACTTAATTCCCACATCTTGTAGGCTATCTGAGCAGCTTCAGGGAAGAACTCTCCAGCTAAGCTGTAATGATCAGTTTGACACAAGACAGCACAGTCAGCAAAGCCAAAAGCTCAAGTGGTGCAGACATTTCTAGAAACAGGGGTCTTTTGTGAAATTAACATCATACTGCTGTTTGACTTTGGGACAGTCTTTCAATATCAACTTCACCAAGTAGTTCTCTTCACTGTTGCAATGACAACATGCGTCTTCCATCATTAAGTAAACATTTCATGGAGTTATACTCCCGTCAGAAAACGTTAACTCTTGAATAGTGGTGCTCTATCACCCCCCTCTGGTTGTTGCTGTTGCTTGCAGCCACACTGTAACTTACTCATCATCTCCTCCACACAGATTCAGCAGAGTCCTCTTGTAATCCCCTGATGTGTCATCCTGGCAGGTTTGAACACACACAGAATCAGGTTATAGCCTACGTGTATGACCAGCTGATGCTATTTGACTTGAAGTTAAAATCTTATTAGTATTTAACCAACTTTAATCATGTTATAAAGTGACTTCTCATATCTTAAACGGAAACACTCCCGAATGTCCAACATGTCTATTTCAGAGCGAGAGATCATGATCCTGATCAGGGTGTTGTCAGCTGTGCCGAGACCCTGGAAATGAAGGAGAGGACAGGGTTCAGGGTCACAGTCAGGGTCAGTTAGACTGCAGTCTGCCGCTGAGAAGAAAAACACGTCATCATGAAGGATATGAAGGTATATTTGTCTACAAAAAGTCTGGGACCAGACTGAACATCTATTTTTACTGAGAGTATGTTTACCTTCATTGACTTGTAAAGGTGCTTGGCAAAGAACATGGGAACACTCCTTATGCACTGGACTGTGAGAAACACCAAGAAGAAAGCCTGGTGTTCAACTGACAATTTGACAGCTCCCATATGTCGCAATAAAGCAGTATATTCAGTGTCTTTCTTACCAACAGCCAGCATCAGCCTCTCAAAGTCCCCAGACATCTCATTCTTTATGCTGTCCTCAATGGACATCTCTGCAATCTTCTCGAATGCATCGAAAACTAAAACAGAAGACAACATTGTGTAATGTTATTTATCTGATGTTGTCATGTTGATGTTAGCTCACAATGCTGTGCCTCAGTACAACCTCACAGGGCTACTAGCATGGCTGTAGAGCCTTGTTACACAAGGCCTCTTTACTTTTTAACAAATACTGAATCAACATCCACAAACTAGATTTACAGCCTTGCAGTTGTATACCTCGCCAACCAGTCAAGTTGCTGTTAAAATTTATATCCATCTCTGTGCACATGTGTAACCATGACAGCAGACAATGCCTCCAATATGAATGTTTCTGCAAAAAAGCTACAAATTCTAAAACATGAACGCTTCACACGCATCTTCAACCTGACAGCACACAAGATCTGTACAATCAGTACAGGGAACACAAGATTAGTGTCACCAATTCAGTATGTGTCTCCTTCGCTCTTCCTGAGTTATGGTGTTGAGTAATAGCCAGAAAAGTGTTTTTGCAGAATATTATGATGTGACAGTAAGGTTGACCTTTGACCTTTAGGATATAAACTATCATCTCTTTATCATTTTATCTTGTTAGGCATTTGTGTGACATTTTGTCATATTTGGCATATGGATTCTTGAGTTATGGTCAAAAACATGACTTGTGAGATCACAGTGACCTTGACCTTTAATCACTAAATTCTAATCAGTCCCTTGTTGAGTCCAAGGAAATTCTCTGAAGGCGTTCTTGAGATACTGCCTTCACAAGAATTAGACGTATATGAATGGACAATCTGAAACCATAATGCCTCCAGCATAAAAGCCTTCCAGAGGTATAAAAAGTAAACGCTCTTCTTCATTTTAATGACTTAATTTCTGTGATGACCACATAACTTCAAATTCAGTTCTGAATAGCAGGCCTCTGACGGTTTTCGTCGAAAGGACAGTGGCAGAGAAGTGCTAATGGTATGAAAATAACTTTTAAAGTGCCATTAGCTCTTAAGAGACCTGAGGTCACGGTGGGAATGTGTAGATGCCTCACTGTTGTGTTAATTATCCTGAAAGCCATGCTCACCCATGTTGAGGTGGGTCACACTACGGTTTCCCAGGATCATGATAAATTTGGCCTCGTCAGTCCCCCACTGCTCTTCTCCTGCTGCATACAGATCCTACGCAGAGGGGACGAAGAGCAGGATGAGATTGTGTTAGAAATAAAAGAACACAACAAATGTTTCAGACAATAAAAATACAGAGAGCTCATCTTCATCAATTATTAATCCCATCATACAGTGCAAATCAATATATCTGGGTTTTTGATGTTAAAAAAAAAATTCCACTGATTGGTTAATTTGGTGTGACTGCTTTTTAGCTGTGCTAGCTGCATGGCTAAAAGGATATCAATGTCGGTCAGCTGGTGGGTTGGTTGGCCCACAACTGGAATCAAAACTTAAATTTAGATGGACTTCCACTTTTTTTTTTAAAGTGCAGACGTAGAGTACGCCACAAATGAGTCCTAAAACCCAGAAATTAGTTAGCTTTTAGCAGTTAGCAAGGGGTCTATGGTGAGATGCCTAAAATAAGGTCTGTGTTTAACACAAGCTTAAGAGACTTTCACATTTTGTTCTACAGCATAAAATACGTAGGTAAATACCCCACTCGTGACCTTTGAAGCTAATATGTGTCTTAAAAAGGCGGTTGCAAACCAGTGGCTAAATGAGACTACAGAATGTCATTACGCCTAGCGTTAGCTTTTTTTTTCTGGTGATTGCATTTAGGCTTCTAAATCATGAAACTGGTGTCCATTTGTGAAGATTATCTTGCTGAATAAAATGTGTAAGTATCACAAACGTTTGTTTGCCACAGAGTTCATTTTTAGCAATTATCCAAAAATCCAATGAAAAAATCCCATGGGCTCTTTGACCAGGGAGCCAGGGCGACGCTAACTTCCATGTCGGCCTACAGAAAAACACTCTATTATTGGTCCCTAGAGGACACAGTTTATTGACTCTGGCAACCCCCTGCCTTTTCATTTAGCATCATTATCAGATAAAAAAAACTGTCTGTCCTGTAAAATTAATGACAATGGCTTAGGTTTAGTGCTAATTAGCTAATGTTAGCATGTTAATATGCAAAACTAAGATGATTAACACAGTAAACGTAATAGGCTATCTTCTAAACAGCATGTTAGCATTGTCATTGTGACCATGTTAACATGCTGGTTTTAGCATTTCACTCAGAGCCCTGTCAGAGTACAGCCTTACACAGCTGCTAGCATGGCTTTAGACTTATAGTCCTGTTGATATATATTTTCATTGACTCAACAATGTCTTGAATAATATAGGCACAATCTTTTGAAACAATATATCCATATTAAAAGCAAATTAGTTAGAAGTATTATTATGTAGAGAAAAGTCTACACACTTAGTAAAAGAATGTACACTTTAAAGATTCTTTAAAGACTTTATAAATGAAGGGCATACGAAGTGAATAAGCCCAATCACTCTGCTCTTCTGTGCCAGTCATAAAAAATTCAGATTCTCACTTGTGCATCCTGCTCCACCAGGTCTGCGTTCACCACTCCTGACTCATCTCTGGTCCCCTGAAACCATCAAACAAATACCATCAGTCAGCAGTTAAAGGTAAGACAGTCACTGTATGGTTGACCGGACCAAACTCCTCAATGAACTGACCTGAAGTAAAACAACCAGCATCTTCTTAAAGTGACCCGACGTGTCCATGATGATATCCTCCTCCATGTCACTGCCATAGGCTGAGGACACAGACATCAGTGTCAAATGCTGAGAAATGTTAAGCCAATAATATGCTGATTTAATGAACATGCCTTACCGTCCTTGTATGCTGCAACCATCTCATGCATCTGTTTGTTGTTCCGAGATGCCATGACTTCAATAAGGCATCTCTCGTTTGTTCCAGCTCCCTTAACAAAGAGCATTAAGTTAAATACGAAGCACCTTCTGCTTTATTAGATGTGATTAGAGTCTTATGAAGAGAGAGTAATGAGGTAAAAGTCTTACTTTGACTGCATCATGGATTTCTTTGGCATCATGGTAGGCTGGGGTTCTCATCAGACTGACAATGAGACGCTCAAATTTGCCTGTGAGCTCATACTTCAGGTCCTCAATCAGGTCCTGTTAAAACATAATGGACTTCTAAATACTTGTGTTGTAAGTTGTTGTATGGCATGATATTTAAACCAGCTCTTTACAAAAAGTTTTCATTTTAGCAAACAAAAAAGAGATGATATAATGGTATGCATTCTTCTACCTTTCCAAAGTTGCATTTGTACGCTGTAATGACTTCCTGCCTCTGTGCGTTGCTCCTCGAGGTGACCAGGTCCAATATGGCCTCTTTATCACTCCCTGAGGAACACAAAGCAACATTTTCAACAACCTTCATCTCAGTCACAGAAGCTGATCTCTGACTGCGTCACCGTTATTCGGTGAAATTCTTTGTGAGATCTTTCAGCCCACGAGGTGAGAAGGTGAAAGATGACCTTTTCCCCTCCGCAGCCAAAAATCATGGAGGAGTGAAGCACTCACCGATGCCTTTCATAGCATTGTAAAGGGCCTCGGCATCAGCGCTGGGATCAAAGTCCGGAGCATCTGTTATTGTACCTCTGAACACCTGTAAGAAAAACAGTTCAACTGAATTTTAGAGGTGAGACATTTTTAATATGTTTCAAGAACAAAGTGACGTACAGAGAAATGCAACTTTTTGCACTAGTGTGGGTTTTCTCTGGGTACTCCAGTTTCCTCCCACAGTCCAAAGACATAGAAGTTAAAGGCTGACTCTAAATTGGCCATAGGTGTGAATGTGAGCGTGAATGGTTGTCTGTCTCTATGTGTCAGCCCTGTGATAGTCTGGTGGCCTGTCCACAGTGTACCCCGCCTCTTGTTCAATGATAGCTGGGATAGGCTCGAGGCCCCCGTGACCCCTAACAGTATAAGTTGTTCACAAATGAATGAATACTAAGAATGGCAATATCTCCCTAACAGTTTATTAGATTGCCATGGACATTCGTAGTCCCCAGAGGATAAAGCTATTGACTTTTGTGGACTTTTTCTCTTGTTCCAGCATGAGGCTGACATTTATTTTTTGCTAAATGTCTTTATAAATATTTAATGGATTGGCATGAACTTTGTTTTATGTGATTCCTTAACTAAGGGTCAGAAGGTTAGGACACAAAGAACACTCTGCTTTGGGTCACAAGTTTGCCCTGCACTTCCCTTATTCTAGCAATGCACTGGCTTCATCCACACTTCCTTGCAGGGTGCGCGTAGTGGACTGTGTAAAAGTGGCAGTGACGGGACACTGGGACAGGAGGTGGAGCAAAGTCTGCCATTACAGCAGCTGACTGCTTGCACCTGTCTCGCCCCCAGCTGAGCAGAGGAAAGCCTGCTGTCTGTGTATGTGTGTGCGGCCGGTGCGTGTGTGTCAGGGTGGGACAGCGGGTGTGAATGAGCAGCAGGGAGTCAGGTTGCACACAGAGCAGCTCTCTTTGCAGGGGTCTGTCATACAGCAGCTCAAAGTGTCAGAATATACAAACAGACTCCACTGGGCATGTAAAGAAAGGTTAAAGCTCTGCAGAGGGGCATTCTTTTACAAAATGGAAGCTCCTGCTCACATTTGAGAATGACCACAGCTCTATCATTTCGGCCCTAAGCTTGTTCACTGTGGGAAATAAGAAAGCTCGGAATCCATTTTAAAAGCTCAGACTGCAGCTGCTGCCGTAGAGATTACTGCTGCATCGAGGCAGCCAGCCAGAATATGCTCCCCACCTTGGTGAGGGGCCACTGCACATGCTCTGATCCTCTGCTTCACTACAACGACCATCACTCTTCACGACAGCTGGAGAGCTTCACCCACTTAGCAACAGGGCCACAAATACAAGCCCCTAGCAACAGGCCTTTGACTAAACTAATCACATTCTTGTGATGGGTCTTATGTGGGAGAGTCCTAATGTGGATTTAATGTTAGGAGCTACATTTCTAACCCTTCTTTCCTCTTTGCTTGTTGCTTCCTCTGTTACCAAAGCCACAGCTGTGCAGAGTTTAATTAAGAGCAAGTGACCTCAGGAAAGGTCAGGATGAAAGGACACAGACTCGCATCTTGAACAATAAATTTGTAAGACAAAGCCTTTGCCTTTGGAGAGAAGCTGTCAGGTGTGTCTATCAGCTGTGCAGATGCCACAGGAAGCAATGACACCCTACACTGCTGCCTTTATGATGGCGAGGAATCACATGGTGGCGGGTGGCAGAAAATGACCTCACTCTATCCACACCTCATTCAATGGGCACAAAACCACCCATGTTCCACAGACATGAGATCTGCTCAGCAGCTTGATACGATCCAAATCAAACTTACATAATGCAAGATGGGAGAGATCCCGTCCACTTACCATGGCTGTATTTGGTCTTCTGTGTTAACACTGCGCAGGAATCAATAGTTACAAGCCTAAAGGGGGAGAGGGAGAGAGAGATATGCTGATGTTTGGCTTTATAGCAGCATTGCAAAACATCCTGTCCTGGTGAGGGTGTCATTCCCCTCCAGTTTGCGGGAAATTGTGTTGCAAAGGCATAATATGCATGATGACCCTGTCTTTTCCCTGAGTAAATCTAATCAGGCTGTCTGTTCAGAGTGCTGCCTGATTAAAACTGATCACAGTCTGTGGTAATTATTAGAGAAAAAGCCCAAGAAACAAAACAGTTTCCATCAGACTGGACCTCACATACACCTAAAATGAGTTGTTGGTGGATGGAATTTGCAATCAATGAATTGGCAGGAAAAGTATTTAGTCACATTTTCCGTGCTGCCATACTCCAACATATAATGCAGCCATTCAGTAAAGCATATGGAGACCCAGCTGCTGTGGAGAGACTACTACTGCTAACTTTTTCTGACTGATTATATTTCTAAATGTGGAAACACAGTGCAAAATTATAATCACTTTTTACCAAAAAAGATCAAATTGAAGATGGAAAAATTATTTGACAAATTTAGCTTATATCCAGCCATCTTTTTTACAGAGGCTTTTAGTGCTGTACCGTTTGCTTAAGACAGAAGTCGAGCTCTCCCAAAATAGCATGCACATTTTAACCTAGCGTCAGAATGAAGGTCTGGGGGGGAGTGGGCCTCTATATATGCAGAGCCACACCCTTCTCTGTACCCCATGCTATAGAATAAACTCTATAGCCTCTAAGCTTTATATAAACTTTTTTTTTTTACTTTAGACTTTGCTCTGTAACAAAACAATGCTGTTATAGTTGTAAAATATATCACCTTTATATCCACTAATTCAATTCTTCCAGGGGAATCCTGCTGCCTACTGCAATTCATTGGCACATGTAATAATGACGCATCAGTAAACTTCTCCAGAAGCACTTTCGCTTCGGACTGAAGAGGTCTCCACATAATTATGATTATGGCTTACCTTCTGTGTGCAGGCAGTATCCGGTGAGAGTGGTCCTGCTGTCTCTGCTCTGTCCCCGCTAACCCCAGTCTGACTGTCTGTCTCCTCCGGTCAGACTCAGGCAGTCCCGTTACGTGTCCTCTGTGACGCAACGACTGCGGCGCTCTCTCGCGCAGCCTCTTGTGTGTGTGTGAGGCAGAGTGTGGCAAGGCAATGTCTTACAGTAAACGGTATACTATGTAAAAAACGTATGAGACCGAACATCCAGTCCTAAGTGAATCATTACGCAGAGAGCGTGCTCAGTTTTACGCATGTACATGTACATGTTTTACGCATGTACCTCTCCTTAAAGACATTTAAAAGCAGTTTAATTAAACACGTAAAGACAAGTTTCTGCTTTAAACTCGATTGTCAGACCTTCTGATCTTTGTCACATGACTGACAGTTCAAATGTGATTTGAACAGAGGGGAGTTTGCTGGCGTTGGTGTGAGAACTTGCCTGCTCTATTTCTGTCCTATCAGGCGCCTCTTCCAGTAAGAGTGGGAGAGACAGCAGCATAGTAAGGGGGGCAGAGGAGAGTGAGGCCATGTCAGCATTGTGGACTACAGAGGGAAACATGATAATGAAACAAATGACTCATAGTTTCCCATAAGCTCAAGTAGTGGTGCTATGATGGGAAGCACAGACACTGATACAAACATGATTTAAAGCCCACAGATTCATGCCTTATATGTATATATATGTGTGTGTGTGTGTTTGTGTGTGTGTGTATGTGTGTGTGTGTAGCTCCTGTGATGTTCATGCAGGGTTTTGATGCATTAATACCTGATGATAGTGTATGGAGTTTGGTGGCAGAAAAGGTGATGAGAGAGGAGAGGTCATGCCAGTGCCACACATAGCAAAAGCATTGCTCAGTATGTTTCAGCCTTACTGGAAGCCAGCCTCAGTGTCATTGACTTTGTGGTTACTATCAGTGTTTCCCTGACATCACCTGACCTCAGTGTACTGTGTAAACATAAAGGACACTTTTTAATCATGCCTCTATTTGAATGGGTCAGTCTATTGAAGGACAATGGTTGTTTCTGACTCCCTCATTCTTATGTCACATTATCCCAGAGCTTTTATGTTCCCTCTGCCAGTGTTCAGAGCTCAGAGTGAGAGGGAACCATATGAGGTAAACCCACATGGTGGTGGGAGGCACCAGTGATGACATGTAGTTGTTGTACACTGACCTCTTCTGCTTTGAAAATGCATTGCACACTGATCACTAGAGATGTGACTGTAAATCAGACAGAGCTGGGAACACTGCAAGAACAACTGAACTCAGTAATATCCTCAAGAGCATGAATAAGGTCAATATGGTTGGTGTAAGTCACAGAAAATGTGTTTATTATGTATTGAAAACCTTTATTTTTTTCATGATTCATGAAAGTTTTGATTGTATCTTCACGTTTTTTTCTTTTTCTCAGAACTGTTCAATCCAATTCAATTCATAAATTTAAGAAAAGGAATGAAAACAAAACAAATGTAGTGAGCACAAAAGCATTTTTGACATTCTGAATGGGATTTGCTGCTCACAATTCTCACCCTGTGCCTTCCATGCAATAATGAGCACATTATGATCCAAACTGGTCGGGAGTGAGAAAGGCTACTTTGTAAGTAATTCCATTGAGTGGGAGGGTCACACAGGCCAGTCTTGTATATATCGCAGTAAAAATCATGTTTCCCTTATCCGAGTCAACAGCACGGATATTTTTGCTCCACTGCTCTGTTTTCGCCACACAGTCACCAGTCACTCCTCGTGGGACTGCAGACAAGGTAAAGAACTTGTGTATCTACTGAGTGAAATTATCATCAGCAAGTCAGATTCAGATCCCTGACCTCTGCTTTAGCTTCTGTGAATGCTGGACTGCAGGAAAATGCCTTTTCTTTTTTAAATGAACATTAGACAGCCATAAATGACACATTAATGATCATTAACTAGACTTGATTGCTATCCAGATCAACCCTCTGATCATAAAGCTGCGCATCACGTGCATTGTAGCTGCTATTTAGATAAGCTTTACCCCCATTGTTCCTCTGGTAACGATATCTCAACTTGTGAGATCTGCAGATAGGAAGCCTGAGCTTTAAGTTTGGTCAAAGGTACACTGACCGTCCACACTGGCTGCCGTCTTACTCGCCCAGTGCCTGCTGAGTTAGATGCCAGGGGGGATTAGGTGAGCTGAAATCCCCTGTTGGGAGATGAGAAGGCGAAAGCTACCTTTCAGAGAGTAAGTGTGCAGCCTGCTGCATGCATGAGCCATGAAAGCTGCTTTGTCCTCCTCTGTTTCATTGACTCTCAGGGCTGTTAGTCTGGCAGGCTCACACTTACAGGTAGAGACGAGGACACGGCTCCTATAAGGCAAGCAGGAAAACTCCAGTATAACTGCAGTGACAAGGTCGCAGGCCATAAATTCATTAAGCAACACATGCATGTAAACACATCTTGAGAACATACAGTGCAGTTGGTGGAGGGGGTGTGACGTAGCGTCTGAAAAGCAACCGCTCTGCATACTTCTTTAATGTATAACCATGTTCTTATTGACTGAAACAGGGAATGTAGTCTTGTAGGAATGTAGTTTCCTCAGGTTGTAATGTTGCCATATTCAGACGCAGCATTTTTTTATTGGTTCCTGTTTGTGAAGGACAAAATCCAAAGTCATAGAGGAATGTGTACCTTAAAGTCTTGGATTTATCTTAAAGGCATAATCATGAAAAGATTATGAAGGCTGCAGCTCTCACCTCCATTACGAGCCCGAGATACACACAAAAACAGTCACATTTTTAGATATTAACAACAGAAAAACAAACAAATGTAACACTGCCCTGCTTCATTTCCTTAATGGTTTGGTAATTTAGTTATTTTCATTACTTTCATCCCTGTTGTATTACATATTGTAAACATAACCAAATTACTTTTGGTTAAAAAGCTACAAAACAATTCTAGAAAAGCTGTTTTCACAAACTGTCAGCAGGTGTAGTCATTTATAATAGGTAAAAATGCCTTTTTATGCATGTCAACACAGGTAATGAAAACACTGAATCACTCTGAGAGGGGCATTATCTCTGACTTGATACTGCTAACAATTTGCAAATTAGAAAACCTTTTATTTTATTGCCAGGGGAAGAACAAATTCAAATTAAATTTCCTGCATTCCTCACGATTCTTAAAGGAAGTAATTGTGCAAGTAATTGAAGGTTGAGTAAGGTGCACTTTTCGAGCAGGGCGTTGCTTTTGTGCTGTGGGCGGCATTGAAAACTCCAGGCATCAGCACTATCATATCAGGGGGGTGATAAAGAAGTGCACGTATAAAAGAATAATGTGATTTAGGGGAATGACGGATCCTATTAATTGTCTCTTTCAAGCACACCTGTGAGGCAGGGGATTACACAGGAGAGGTGAGTGAATGATTTTGTCCATCATGTAAATTCAGTAAATTGCTATTAGAACATCTGAGTTGAAATCATTATATAATCATGATTAAGCTTTAACAAAATTGGTTTTGCCCAAGTCTCTATGGTTTACAGGTCTTCTTAGATGCCTTAATTCTATTTAAAAATGGTTACATTAACAATAGATTTTGATAATAAAGTTTCTTTGAAGGGGAAATGTTCTTCTGTGGGGCTGACCTGACAATTATTCACTGACAGGTTCACTGATCCGCCCTTTCTTCCCCATTCCTCTCCTCTCCCCTCACTCTTTTTTTCCCCCACTTACTCCTTCTTTCTCCATAACATCAAACTGCACTCCCACCTGCCTCCTCCTTTGTAATTCCCACACTTTGTCACCCTGATCCAAACCCACAGAAGTATGGCGTGTGGTGCGGTGAAGTCCTTTCTAGTGAGCCTGTCTCGGAGGAAGCCCCTGGAGCCGGAGGGGGAGAAGTCCACGTTTAACCGATGCCTGACCACTCTGGACCTGGTGGCCCTCGGTGTGGGCAGCACCCTGGGGGCCGGGGTCTATGTCCTGTCTGGAGAGGTGGCCAGAGACACTGCTGGACCCAGCATCATCCTCTCCTTCTTCATCGCTGCCTTGGCATCCATATTCGCCGGGCTTTGTTATGCAGAGTTTGGGTCTCGGGTTCCCAAAACGGGCTCAGCATACCTTTACAGCTATGTGACTGTTGGAGAGCTGCTGGCTTTTATCACTGGGTGGAATCTGTTACTCTCCTACGTCATAGGCAAGTATGACCCACCGGATTTGTTTCATACATTATCGACTGCATTAGATTATCATGTCTAGTGATGTAGATTTTGTCCTCTTAGAATATTATTTTATTTGTTCACAGGACAAATGTAGATAAAGTAAATATGATTTTAATTTAAGATCTGCTTTAATCTTAATCTCTGGCTCAAACTTGTGATTCTCATACTCTGAATAATAGATTGCCCTCTTATGTAACATGTTTGGCTCACTGAGAACCCATGAATGATCATCTATTAACTTGAGGCTCTCAAACGCTCTGCAACCTTTTACCTGCTCCTCAAGCAGATCTTTAAATGAGTTTTTCCACTACAAACCTTTTTTCTTACACCCCTTGTTAAATTCATTGCTTCCATGTCATTAACCCCATAAACCAGGATTGTGGTTTAAAATAACTGAGTCATAAAGTGTGACAGGCACAGGGAAGGGTCTATCACCATCAGTGTTTTCTGTTTATGACTACTGTTGGACAGGCTGAACCGGGCTGATGAGTTTATTGTATCTTTCTCTTTCATCTTTATCTGCTCAGGGACATCCAGTGTTGCTTTAGCATGGAGTGGGACATTTGATGACCTCATCGGTGGCGTCATATCCAAATACTTTGAAGAACATGCTGCCATGGGCCTCCCTGGCCTAGCACCTTACCCCGATGTCTTTGCCACTGCTCTCATCTTGCTACTGTCAGGTACAAAATGATGAAACTGGTGTGGTTATAGTGCTGACAGTAATCGTACAAAGACATTTAAAATTGACCATGTTTCCCCATGTAGGCCTGCTGGCATTTGGAGTTAAAGAGTCAACAACAATCAACAAGATTTTCACAGCAATCAACATCCTGGTTCTGCTGTTTGTGGCCATCTCTGGATTCATCAAGGGCGACCTCTCCAACTGGCAGATCAGTGAGGAGGCTCTGATAAACGCCACAGCAGAATTCAAGTAATGTCAAAAAGCAATAAAA